TGGAAGTAATGGAATTTATGGGCTCGTACTTACTAATCAGGATCGGTTGTCATCCTTGCTTAAAAGAGTAGGATTGGACTTTGTGATACCAAATAAACCGAGCCCTTTTCCAGTCAACATCAATTAACCTAGTATTTAAAGAGTACTATGTCATTTTCAGGCCCGTCGTTCCTTTAGTGAAGCCAGGCTACTTGCGGCCCCTGGTGCCGGAGCAGGCGCCGGATAAGGCAGAGCCCTGGACCGCGGTGATGGCGGACATAGAGCGCGTGGTGATGTCCGGAGTGACGCACTGGCACTCGCCGCGCTTCCACGCCTACTTCCCAACCGCCAACTCTTATCCTGCCATCGTCGCCGACATGTTGAGCGGTGCGATCGCCTGCATTGGATTTACATGGGTTAGTTGGAATTATTTACACTAATATACAGAGGAAAGATTTCAAAACCCTTGAATACGTTGAATACGTATACATATTACATAAATTATACACTATAAAATATTTTATAAAATAAAAACTTGAATGCATAATGTAATTGATATTAAATTCATAATTAAGTAGGAAGTTGAAACAATTAAAAAAATAATATTCTACGAACCATTGCCAATGTCAACATTCTTTTGGATTTTCATTGAGGACAAGGAAAACCGGTCAGAATGACGTCGGTACGTTATTAGGTTTAGCTTGTCGATATATTTTTACCTGCTTGACGGTAACGAATGAAATCTTGGTAAGTCAAAAATTTAGGCGATTATTTAGGCTCTGTGTACAGCTTTATCGGCATGGTATTACCGTGTTCGACTTCTACGGAATGTATAAATCTTTTCAGATATTTTAGCGGCTCTTAGCATTACGCACTCCAATGGCCTTGGGTATCTCCGGTTTATGTAATGAAAAATAATGAAAATACGCCTTCATATAATTGTGCACATTTCTGCATGTTATTATGTATCTGATACATCAAATATCATATATAATAGCATGAAATTGGTAACTTTAATTGTAGAAAAATTATTAATTTTCAGATCGCTAGTCCCGCGTGCACTGAGCTAGAGGTCGTGATGTTGGATTGGCTGGGCCAGATGCTCGGGCTTCCGGAGTGCTTCCTCGCGCGGTCGGGAGGCGAGGCAGGCGGCGTCATCCAGGGCACGGCCAGCGAGGCCACCCTGGTCGCACTGCTCGGTGCTAAATCTCGCACTATGCAACGAGTCAAGGAACAACATCCCGAATGGACCGACACCGAAATCCTCTCAAAACTTGTAGGCTACTGTAACAGTGAGTATTGTTTGTTGAAAGTTGGTTACTAGGTAATCTATTACAAATTTTGTAACAAATTTTTCATTATGTGTTTTAAATTTTAAATGTTAAAAAATATGGTTTTCGTAAACCTTTTGTTTTTTTTAATTATGGGCGAATTCTATGGACTTCTGTTTATTAACAGAACAAGCGCATTCATCGGTTGAACGAGCCGGTCTTTTGGGGGGCGTGAAGATGCGTTCCTTGAAGCCTGACAGCAAGCACCGTCTGCGGGGCGACATCTTGCAGGAGGCTATCGATGAAGATATTAAGAAAGGCCTTATACCATTCTACGTAAGTACATTGTAGGCGCAAAATTATATTTTTCTGCATCCGAATGATATGAAAATAAAGCAATATTGAGAATAATTTCTTCCATTTTCAGGTTGTCGCCACACTGGGCACTACATCTTCGTGTACGTTTGATGCCCTGGATGAAATAGGCGAAGTGTGCGCGGCCCGCGACGTTTGGCTCCACGTGGACGCGGCCTACGCAGGATCAGCATTCATATGCCCCGAGTACCGCTACCTAATGAAGGGGGTGGAAAAAGCCGATTCGTTTAATTTCAATCCTCACAAATGGATGCTGGTTAACTTCGACTGCTCCGCTATGTGGCTCAAACAGCCGCGCTGGATTGTAGACGCGTTCAATGTCGACCCGTTGTACTTGAAACACGATCAACAAGGGTCCGCGCCCGACTACCGCCACTGGCAGATCCCGTTGGGACGTCGGTTCAGAGCGTTGAAGTTGTGGTTCGTCTTGAGATTGTACGGCGTTGAAAATCTACAGAAACATATCAGGAAGCACATCGCTTTGGCTCACCTCTTTGAAAAGTTGTGCACGTGTGACGAAAGATTTGAAATAGTGGAGGAAGTGACGATGGGTCTCGTTTGCTTTAGACTGAAGGGAAGCAACGATATCAACGAGGAGCTGCTCCGGCGTATCAACGGCCGCGGAAAGATTCATCTCGTACCTTCAAAAATTGACGACGTTTATTTCCTGAGATTAGCTATTTGCTCGCGTTTCTCGGAAGAGAGTGATATTCATATATCGTGGGAGGAAATCAAGAACTCTGCCGACGAAGTACTTGCCCAAAAGTAAAGTATTTTATTTATAAGTCTATTAATGAACCGATAAAATGATATTTATGATAAACTCTTATAATCTATAGTATATCTATGTAATCTAATAATCTTAAATTATTGTTAACATGTAGTAGATGTCTATATACACCTTAATTGATAACTAAACATAAGAAATAGAAAACAGACATAAAAAATACGCAGTATTAAAAAAAAAGTAAATGTAACTATGTATGTGTATCTAATTCGTAGAAATGTTATAATATACAGTAGTGTTAGCTTTTGTTCATTTTCATTAATATAAATATTAATGTGGCCAAAGATAAAAGTGCTTACATTACTTGTTGCTTTGATATGCCCCATTATTTTGCACTTTAACTTTGTCTCTTCGAAAAATTTACCCATATTATTTTTTTCTAGGATTAGTTGATATTATTAAGGTATTATGTGATTATTTATTGTAAAAAGTTAAATATTAATAAACAAGGATTTAGAAATATTGGTTGTTTCAATGTTAATGTGTATATTTCATACTTTAGGGGAAAATATACCTATTAATATACAAGCCTCAAATTAAAGTTGGCCATTTTAGATTAAATAACCTCCTTCTTTTTGAAGTCGGCTATAAAAGAGGATAAATTTTGTTACAATGTCACTCTGTTGTCTTTTCTATAAATATAACAACCTTACTTTTTCGCAAAATTTGTTTCGGAATAGATCGCGGGATTAAAATGCAATGGTGTTGTAATTAATCAAAGTAATGAAAAAATAACAATATGAAATTATCACGTATGAAATTGTTCTGTAACAAGGGTATTTACAAGTTATATATACTACCGAAGGAGTGGACAGTGTTCGTAACAGCATGTCGAACGACGAGCACCGCCGTCACCACGGGGCAGGAACAGTGCTTTCTGGATTCGTGCAGCATAAAGCCGAGTATTCGCGAGCCCAGAGTCATTATCGTGGGCGCCGGAATAGCTGGTCTTTCGGCAGCTCATAGATTGACACAATGCGGCATATGCAATTTTAACGTTTTGGAAGCAAAAGAAAGGTAAAAGTTATTAAGTACTCCTATTAATGATTTATCGGCAACTTAAGTGTATAACGATTAATGCATTTGCAGGCCCGGTGGACGTATTCACTCTTGTTGGCTCGGAGATTCCATCATAGAAATGGGCGCCGAATGGATTCATGGCGCTTGTTTACCCAATTCTGTATACACGTTGGCATCACAAGATCGGCTACTCCAAGCACCCTTACCTCGCCTGGACAATTCCCGTGGTTTATTTTGTACAAGCGAGGGACGCGCCGTGGATTTGCCGGTCACCATCACGGCCTATCACACATTCAGACAAATCGAGCAACAGGCCGCTAATTTGTTTAGGTTAGGCGGTGAAAAGATGCACGGTACACTGCTTAACTTCTTCGGTTTACGTATACAACAGGAACTGTACAATTTTCCCGAGGACCAAAGGTATGACGCCGCTCGAGTAATGTTTGGCTTGACTAATGTTTTACGAAATAGATGTGGGGATGACTTGTCACTCGTCAGTGCGGACCAATACGGCAGCTACATAGAACTGCCTGGCGGCAGTGTGCGCGTGCCACTAGGGTATGTGGGCGTATTAGCTCCGCTGCTACGAGGACTGCCGGACAATAGTGTAAAGTATAACAAAGCCGTAAATATTATACGATGGGGTCGAGGCCAGGCGGGTACCGGCCGAGCTTTAGTTAAGTGTTGTGATGGTGAGGAGATCACATGCGACTATGTCATCGTTACCGTTTCCCTGGGATGCCTTAAATGTCAAGCGGATAAGCTGTTTGCACCGCCTCTTCCTTCGTGCAAGTTGGATGCCATATGCAGTCTGGGTTTTGGACTTAGTAACAAAGTATTTATGGAATATAAAGAACCGTTCTGGGTATGCCAAGAGGGTAACATGAAGTTGGCATGGTCAGCCGAAGAGTTACAATGTAGAAACGACTGGACGGATGGCGTCTGTGCAATCGACGAATTACCCGGCAGCAAACACGTTCTATGCGCCTGGATTTCCGGGCAGGAGGCTGCTGTTATGGAGTCAAAAGCCGACATCGACGTTGTCGAAGGGCTCACAAAGCTACTGCGACGCTTTACCGGAAACCCTTGCCTGCCTTACCCACAAATGATGTTGCGATCTCGCTGGGCTTCCGACCCGCATTTCTGTGGGGCATACTCATACATGAGCTGTTGTTCTATGGTGAGCCACCAATGTGAATTGGGTAACCCGGTACCGGGTCCTTGTGACCCCCAACCCCCTATACTATTGTTTGCCGGCGAAGCCACTCTCCCTGGTTATTTCTCAACAGTCCATGGAGCAAGACTAAGTGGGATTCGGGAAGCCGAGCGCATTATATTGCTGACAAAAAAATTCAATGGTCCACCACCTTAATCATTTTTATTTTCAATTTAGAACTATATACTATACTTATTTATATCTTTACTGGTAAAATTTTTAGATGACAGTATATTCCTATGTCTTTTATTCCATGTTTGTAATTTAAAAAGTATTTTTTTAAATTCTATGGTGTAGCATTGTGAAATAAAATACTCATGTTTAAATTATCTTTTAATTTATAATATTCTAAAATTAAATAAATAAGTACATAGCTGTCTAAATTAAGGTATTGCTTCAGTTACACCATATTCCATATAATGCCCGTCCAATTACAGACAAAATTTCAAACCTCTTAAGAAACTGCCATAATTGTCAGAAGATGAAAATACATCTTCAAATTCCAAATAAATTCTATTGCTGGTGTAGGCAGTATCTCTGCATTGAATGCCATATGAAAATGAAAATAAATTGTCATCTTTCGGCCAATGGAAGCATATTTTATACCAGTTATCTTTTTTAATAAAACATGGTTGTTTGAATTCAATATCAATGTTGGAATCATAATCTACATTGTTGTTATATCTATATTGTGCAATGACACTATTGTCAGAGGCACATATCAATGAAATTGAAACATTTTCACAGTATTGTTTTGGTGTGTTGTTACAAAAGTTCAATACTGGTGTCATCCTTGATGGTATATTTAGATTATTGATAAATATTGATTTATTAGTTTTTAATTTACAAAGGACATAGTTATGAGTTGAATCTATAATAGCTGGTGTGGCAGATCTTACTGGACTACGATGACAAAGATACCATTGCAATTTCAATGGTTTCCTTGGAATTACAAGAGTACTAATGGTGTCAATATTATTGCTGCATAAGGCACTACGTTCTAACATTTTCTTAATATATTCAAATTCTTGAGGTAGTAGTAAGCTACTTTCACTTCTAACAATTTCATCCAAACTGTTTACAGATAATGATAAAAACCTTAATAATTGAAACAATCCATTTTTAATTAACACATCTCTTCTATTCATGAAATCAACAGGAATGTTGTTCATTTCACAATAATAAGTTGTCCACTCAAAAGTGAATTTAATAAGCTCTTTTTCTGGTATATTCATATTGTCACTAGTGAGAATTTTTTGCAGACAAAAACTTGTGATAATTCTCTTATTTTCCTTCAGTAGATATGCAGCATGTTCACAGAACAACCGAAGTGAAGCAGATAGTAATTGTTTATCTTGCATGTAATCAGGGTAATTTAAAATTGTAATAACATTATCTATGTTTACATTTGATTGTACATACTTGATGCATACTTCGGACAAGTGGTCTAGTAAATATTTTCTTGAAACATATAGTAATTCAAAGGCTTCCTCAATTGATGTTATTTCTACTTTGTCCGTGTATATGTAATTTAATAATTGTTGAAAAATCTCAGGCTCAATGTCGGTTATAACAATGTCACTGTTAGTTGATAGGGGCCCATAAAACATAGCTTCAAATACAGGACTGCTTATTCCTAGTATCAATTTATGTGCTTTGAATTTCTTGTCACACACCGAAAATGTACAATCACTCCACTCATAAGATACCAAAAGCTTGTTAACACGGTCGTAGAGGCTATTATTTCTTAATTCGCCCATTTTATATCCCATCTGTAACACACGATCCATTTTTATATTTTTCGTTTAATTATTTATAAAATTAACAACGTCATTGAAAGACTTCTAACTTAAAATAACTGACTCCTAATTAATACCATTATAACTGTTTTACCTGTTTTCCGTCCGACTATAACCTTGAACTTGATCAAGTCCAATGACCAAAAGTTGTTGAGAATAGGATGATGTTTATCTTACACCTAGTACAGAATCCTTTGAGTTATTTATATATTATAATATGACAGAAGAAATAAAACATACTAACCTTCAATGTGATTATCAAGTATCAAGTATACGAACACTTTAATGCAGTAATATCAGTGTATTACACTGCCAAAATATAACGCGAATATTTATTCTGTGTTTGCAAACAATATTTTGCTAAACTACGCAAGGAATTTTATAATTTTAACGAGATGTATAACAACATTTAAAATATAACAAGTGCTTTATTCAACTTTTTAGTTGTAACTAAATACCGTCTATAGAATTAACTAACAATTTTTACTTAATAAAGAACTGTAATGAAAAAACAATGTAAACCACAACCACAACTGCAAGAATCATGTTTGCCATCAACAGTGTTGCCTGGTGTTGCCAATCAAAATTTTTATTTTTACCTGGCCATGTACAATGTGTGATGGCGGCTTCACATTAGCATTAGTGCCGTGAAGCTCCGTGAACAACGGAAATGTGAATGTAGATGGTCTTCGCGGAGTTCGAGTGAGTTCACGCTCATTCACGTGTCGCGACGGCGAACTGGCGCCTCTTTGTCAATATAAAGAAATTGTGACAAAAACTTTCGTACCCAAAGTCCCAAGGGACATGAGCCTAATGATATTTTTGTAACAATGACAGGGGGCCGCTAGTGGTCATAATTTCACATCGCGCGTAGACCCGTAAGCACAAACCTGAAAAAAATCATATTAGTGCCTGTAAGGGACTTAAAACTCTTTCCAGTCATTTAAGAATAATCTTGTAAAATCGATGTTATATTTTCAATTTGTAACATATATTCTTTATCCATCTAACCTCACTACTTTATTAATATTAAAAATGCGGCAGTAATTCTGTCTGTATATCTGTGTCGCTTTCAGGCGAAAACGACTAAACCGATTTATATCAAATTTGGTACACCGATCGTCTAGAACCCTATTTGTTTTTAATGTGCAATAAGGGCTGTAAGAGGTTGAAAGAGGATGGATTTTTTTTTGGAAGTATTGTTAAAACAGATTTTTACAGTTAAAACAGAAATAAGCTTAAAACCTATTTTTAGGACGTTAGGTAGTTTGATGATTCAAAGATTGTAAAAGTTTTTCTCTGAAGGGTGTTAAATAATAATTGGGAATAGAAGATGAACATTTGAGTAGGAATATGTGAGGTTTATGTAAATGGTTTATAATTTTAATATTATATGTTTTGGTGTAATGCTTTATAAGTTGTAAAATAGTAATGTCACGTGAACGAAGTCGTGGGCGCAGCTAGTATTGGCTAGTATGGAATAAAACTAAACCATAGAGATCTGATAGTGCAGTACAGCTGTGCAGTGCTCTGTGGTCCTCTGTGTGATAAATTGGTTGGTGAAAAACAAACTGAAAACTCGAGCCCGCGCGCCGGTATAGTGTCAGTGTGGTGTGTTTGAGATGTTCCCAAATGTAAATCAATTATGTGAAGGTTATTTAATTATTTGAAAGACCTAATATAATCTTGGTTAATTATGCCTTCCACTTTAGATGAGAGTGGTTGCCCAATATACAGTATTTTAGTGGACAATAATAGTTCTAATGTTGCGGTGAGTTTTTAGGTTATTTATTTATCCAATCTTAGTTTTTTAGTATCATGTTATTGTTTTCTCATTTTATTATAAACCCATATAGAAAAATGAGCGTAACATTGTCTCAGCTTAGTTTCTACATCTCTAATTCTCTATCAAAACCGAAATAATTTCGAATATGAATTATCATCGTAAACCTAGTTTGAAGATACAACATTTTTGCAGTCTTAAGTTGAATATGTGAAAGATCGAATTTTTGGAATGTAAGGCAAGCGTTTTAATGTTTTAGGTTATTCTTTGTTTAATTTTAATATTTAAACGATCAGTTACATCAAGTAACTGAACTTACCAACTAACAATTTTATTATTTTCATTGTAAACAGGTACAATGTGATGCTAAGAAGCAATCTGAAAATATAAGTTATGTCAAACAAAAAATGCTAGAAAATGAGTAAGTGTTAATTTGGTCAAATTTACTATAGTAGTCATAAAATCTTAGGACCACCCCAGGGCAAGAGTAAATGTTTTCTGACAGTTTTAATTGTCATTATAATAATTATCTACTAGTTGTTGGTTAAAGATTTATGCATCATTTTATTTGTCCAATTAAAAAAAAATGTTTAATTAGTTGCGTCTTTATAAATTGGGCATTACTATACTATGTGTAGTGTAGTATAATTTACCAAAATCTTTAAGATTTAATCCATTACAATGCAATGCCTAGGTGGTGAATTCTCTTATGGTTACATTTCTCTGAGGCTTTAATATTAGAGATTTTGGCTAAACACAATTTTTTATCAGCTATAACTATGTCTTTCAGTTTTATTATAAGAAAATACAAAAAGAATATTCTATTCGATAAATCAGGAAGATTTGATAGATTAAATAACTCTCCAGATGGATATACAGAAGATTGCACATTCAATGTTGCTGCAACAAATGAATTGGTAATTATTATAAAATTGTTTTCATGACATAAACATATTAATTAGTTATATACATATTGGGAATACTAAATAATAATTTATGTAAAATAAATTATGTAAAATACATTTTTTCTATATACATTTCAATTCAAAGATTTTTTAAACATAGATTACATTAAATAACTAAATATCTAGCTTAAGGCAGAAATTCATCACAATTTTAAATACTAGCAAATCTTGTATATAGTATTTGATTAAATGGAATTTAGTTTTTTATTTTTAGTTATTTTAATTATAAATCTATGTTAAAATATGCAGAATAATAACTATGATATCATACCACAGGCAATGAGTTTATCTAAGGAAAAAGCGGAACTGGAAGTGAGATTGGCTTCTACTGAAATCAAAATTCAGGAAATGAAATCTCATATTAATCAACTTCAGGCAAGTTAACATTTTATATCTAAGAAAATCTTTTAAAGTAACAGATATTTGATTGTGTTTGTGGGCTTGAACATTGGCATTCTACTATTGTTATAATCCATTACCCCAGCGGAAGCCTAGAGCTGATTTGGAGAGGCGTCAGAGATCTTAGTAAATTATCAAAAATCTGCTCATAGTTTTATTCAAAAAGAACCTTACAGTGTTGACCAGGCAGTGAGGAATATATTGTTTTGACATCTTTTGGTGAAACTCCTTTTTGCAAATTATTTTGATGCATTCACATTAAACAATCTTTTTATCTTACAGATGCTGGTTACTGAATATGAAACACAAATAGAAGCTTTGAAAATAGAAAATCAATTACAAAAATGTAATACTAAAGAATACAACACTTTGATTAATGATATATGTCTTTTCAGAGACATTGTACTTGGCAAAAGTATGTATGATACTATAAAATTACAAACTAAATTTATATGATAATATGTTCCTAATGTTTATAACTGGAATTGATTTTTAGTTCAATGAAGTCTTACTCTTACTTAATCTTACTAATATTATTATATGTGGATTGATGTTTATTAAAAGACATCTCCAGAACTATTGCATCTGATCTGAAATTTAGCACAGATGTTGAACATATTATGGAATATCACATAGGCTAATAAGATTTTTTTGTAATACGGTGCTGATGGAGTCGCGGGCGACAGCTAGTTACTCATAGATATATAACCTATAGATATGTAATTCAGAGTATAACAGTGAGATAATTTTTTTTTTCTGTTATTTCAGAAAAGATGCAAACTAGGCATAAAAGGATTTTAAAAAAGTATGATAAATATAAATCAACTGCAAGTGATAATGTCTCTGAGGATGTTGAGGAATTAAACATATTTAATCAATCATCACCAACTAAGACATCAAAAAAATCATATAAAAACAAAAACAGTCAGGTATAGTAGTCATATTTTTTTATTACTTATTGTTGAATTAATCTACATGAATAAAAGACAATTTTTGTTTTTTTCCTGTGTTCTTTAATGGCTGGACCGGTTTTAACGCAATATTTTAAGGGTAGTCTTATCAAGTGTGTCCCATAAAAAGTAAAAAAATTGTCTTGCTTACCATCTTTTTAAGTTCTATTGGAACACATGCTGGATTTATTATTTATAAATTTATCAAAGTATTATGATGAGCGATTTGAGTATTTTTTTTTTGTTTCAGGCAAAAGGTTTATTGATTGAAACAAGTACTGTCAGCAAAAAGATAGAAAAGAGTAAGTGTGAAAACAATCCATTGTTTGACATTTTGAAATACAATATATGCTATCTAATAATATCAAATATCATCATTTACTACTATTTATTAGCAATTAATTATGTAAACATGTAACATATTTTTTTACAGGCAGTAAGCTATTGGTACAAGTAAATGGTCGTCAAGATTCCGATTCTGGTAATGATATCATAAGTGAAGATTCCGGTTTCAGTTCATTTGGTAACAGCCCAGATTATTATCCAACAAATAGTCCTTGTAGTACAACGAGTTTGGCACAAAAAGAGAAGAAAATTTACATAGATACTGCTACTAGTCCTATAACTGTTCAAGTAGAAGTTAACACAAAATCTTCAGATAAAGAAAATAACCAGTGTACATCTTGTCAATTAAGTAACAATCTACAAACAGAGAAGACATACATAGACATAGCTGCTAGTCCTATCACAGTCCAGGAATATGTAATTGAAATAATAAATTCAGGCACAGATTGTACTGAAAATGATAATAATTACATTGAAGACACAACAACTGAAAAAATTAAAAATGAGATACTTGTCGATGAATCTAACAAAACCAATGTAGTACAAGAAAATAAAATTGAAATCACCGTTGAAGCTAAAGACGATGAAAAAACAGAACAATTAGCCCATTCTGAAATAGAAAGTTATTTAAATGATTTAAATGAACTTGTAAGTGACGGTCCAACGGTCCAACGGTTGAATGATAGACAACAGAATACAAATATTGATAAAGATAATGAAAAGAGTAATGTTCAAGAAAATCAGGAGAAAATAGAAGATATGTTGAATGATGATAAAGATTGTGTGTCTTTATGTGATTCAGATATTATAGAAGGATGTCTCTTTGGACAAGATAGTTTTGAAAATGATATTCCATTAGATAACGAAATAAAGCAGAAACACTTTTCTGATGTAGCAACTAGTCCTATTACAATACAAGGAAAGTTAGTAGAAATCGCAACTAGTCCTGTACAATTTATAGACAGCCCACCTAAAAACTTGGATAATGACTTAACCATCGAGAAAGCTACATTCCAAAATGATATTGATAAATGCAAAACAATTGGAATAAACACTATAGAAATTAAACAGCGCGAAATAGCAACTAGTCCTATTCAATTTGATCGTGTTTCTGGTGCTCAAGAAACTACAATTAGCGAGCGAGAATGTCTAGAACTCAATAATAGTAATCAAATTAATAATTGTCATGACTGTGAAGTAGAAACTATTTTAAGATCTATGCGATTAGATTGTGAATTAATAACACCGATTCCTAAATCACCAGCTAAATCTAAAAAAGCAGATACTGTTTATGCCACTTGCCACAGGTGTAAAGATATGGCGAAACTTGAGAAGGAAAATGAAAATTTACAGTCTACTCTTCAGGACATCGCAAAGTCAATGGGCAGTATGACAAGGTTAATAAAAAGCAGAGGTGTGTTAGTGAATAAAAATTTAAATAATAATTATAATGAATCTTGTCAGCTTCAAATGGATGAATTTACTCCAACTATCACATCAAATGTAAATATTGAAGAGTCTAATAATGTCAATGAAAATGTACCAAAAGATTTGTCAAAATCTGTACCTATTTTAAACAAACCGAACATAGTTAAAGATGTCACAAAAAGATTAGAATTTGGTGAAAAAGAAAATCACCTTAATAACAACGTAGTTTTAAATAATGAAAACCAACCAACGTCAAATATACCAATTATAAAATCAGTTCAAATTAGTGACAATCAAAACCCGTTACGCAATAACCAAGTCATAAGTAAGTCAAATGAAACCGAAGAGCAATCCATTTCAAATACAGATTTAATAGAATCATTTGAAGTTGAGAAAGATGAAAATGATATAGACCAAAATTGTAATATGCATGTTGATGAAGAAAAATCTGAATCGCCAACGAAAAAGGTTAGAAAAGTTATAAAATTAACAAAACTAGAGAAATGGAAGAGAAAATTGCTTCCAAAGTCTAAGATCCGAAGAGAATTAACTCCACCAATCAGAAAAGACAAGAAAAGAAAACAGATTATTAGAAAGAAAGTAATAGGAGATGATTCTCCTAAACTAGCTATTTATAATAACGAAGCATATAAAAAAGCTGTTAAGGTAATGGCGGAATTAAGAGATAAAGAAAAGAATAAAACCAATACAAAGCCATCTGTAGTGAAACCTTTAGAAAAGAGCAATGAGTGCCAACAAGAAGTAATTATTGTACTATCCAAATGTGATGATATTATTCAAAAACAAACAAATGAGGCAGTTTCACCGAAACATAATAAGATGAATGAAGAAACAACTGCTATTAATAATGATTTACAAAAAGAAACGGATTTAACTATAGAAAAATCACCTAATTCACCACCTGTTACTACAAGAAGTCAAAGAAAACGCCTAATTTCAGAACTTTTTAATAGTCCAAAGGTGGACAAACAAGATGAACATGTTGAATCACTATTAGAAAAAGAGAATTATGCAAGTCCTGTCCGCAGAGGACAGAAACGTCGTGCATCCGACAGATCTGAAAGTACACCCAAAAGGTTACTACGTGGTTCTGCAACGCATGAGTCAAGCTTAAATAAAACTGATAACTCTAATACGGAAGTAATTAAATCACCACACAAAGATTCAGAACCTATCGTCGTTAGAAGAACTTCAAGACGCCTATCTTCACAGAATGCAAAAGAACTTAAATGTAGTCTATCTAATCTAGATGTCTTCACTGGAACACCATTATCTGAAAACAATGAGCAACAATCTTGTGTACCAGAACAGACGATGCAGCCTAAAGACCGCATTTTATGTAGAATGTTAGAGAAATATGCAAGAACTTCAGTTAAATTCCAAGGCAAGAAATTACCAGGTACGTTTTATAAATCTAACTGCTATTTGACGATACAACAACCATTTGTTGGAGTAAAGTCTTAATAAATTAATATTTTATTTTTCAGAAGCTAAAATAAATATGGTCTCACGGAAACTGGAAGAAGGCATTGCAAATATTATAACAATACCCCAATATAAAGCAAAGAATGCAATGAACGATTTAGTTTACGAGATACAAAATTGGGACATTAAGGTGTTTGTGTCCGGGCTTGTATTGTATTTGAAAGAGCCGACGCGTAAAGACGAGCTATTTAACAAAGTGAACACTCCGCCCGCACCTTTAATGACCAAATCTGAACAAGTGCTGCTTTATATATTGAAGCAACTACAAGCTTGTTGGGCCCCAGACAATATTATAGAAACTATAATGAAAAGCATAGAATTCACTCTATTTCAATTAAATAATACACCAGAGTTTGGTCAAGTGGAGAGTCTGTCACATTTCTATGCTGTTCTCTGCAGATATTTCTCAGTGAAGAGTCGTCTGCGATTGTTCATGTTGGATGCTATGTATTGCATTCAATTTAAATCAGTGGCACTTATAAAACAATGTCTTGAAGTTTGGATGCATGTTCTACCTTTGGCTCATATGGGAATGGGTAATATATTTTTTATTTTAATATGAATTACTGATAATTCAAAGCTTTTCTTTTTAGTTAGAATTAATGCATATCTTTATTTTTTCAGCAAAATGCCCGTTAGTTATGTGTTTAATATACCTTTTACACTTTTTCAAATGTGAGGATAAATTTAACCGGGTTCAAGAAATAAGAGATATATTGTGCCAGAAATACTTTTATCAAGTAAAAGAATGGAGAGAATCTAAGATTTTGGAAATGTTCAAGAACGCATTATTAGAAATACGTGGTAATTATGACGTTTCATATTTTAAAAGTAAAAATCTTGCATTTAGAGAAATGACATGTATCTGGATTTCCATGTTTTAATATAAATGTTTAATTATGATGATTAAATTAAACCATAAGCTAATATTATATTATTTTTTAGAAATTCCAGTTGAAAAGAAAATGCTTCGTTTGGCATTTATAATTCTTGCAAAGCGAAGAGGTCCTCATTGGGCACAAAAGAATTTAGTCAAAGATATGATCCAGCCTCTCATAGATAAGACAGGTGTACCAGATAATGTGAAAGCGTTCTGTGTGTCAATACTGGGGCCAATGATGAAGCCATATCCTAATGACATGAGAGTACACTGTGAGGTTGTTGTCAATCAGTTGATAGAAATGTTAGATCATAACGGTAAGATATTTTTGTCAAACATTTATAAATGACTAGCTGTCGCCCGCGACTCCGTTTGCGCAGAATTAAAACAATGTGTTCTTCCAGACTATGTTCTATATGTGTGCCAAATTTCATTAAAATTCGTGAAGCTGATCCGGAGATACCTTCAAAAAATATCCATTTATCCAAACATTTGCATTTATATTATTAAGATTAGATATTTTACTTTACTAATATTGTATTGTTTATAATACAATTTTGATAAAGTAAATAGACAGTTTTAGCCGTCATATCCCATTTATTGTTTTAACCAATGTCATATTAAACAGTTTCTATTGTGTACCGCATTTCAGTTTGATTAAGTTTTTGATTTGATTTCCGAGACCAAAATCTCTTTATAACACAATTCTATAAACAAAACAGAGATGATATGTTTTAAACGGAGATCTGTGTCTCAGAAACCCACCATTAGTGTTTTTTAATCATTAAAATTCAATGATAAATGTTAAATAATAATTAAATATAACTGAGAAACAACCGTTATCTTTACAGCTAAACCCAGTATGCAAGAGGCTATTTTCACAAGCTTACTGTACATGAGGCGGCACAATTCAGCGCGCGTCAACCAGGCTCTGTTCGCCTGGAGCCCGCGTCAGCTCTCCCCTGAACTGGAAAATCTACTCAAAGACTATATCAGAGAGAAACCCGCTAAAGTATGGAAACATATACTGTCGAAGATTCCGATTATATAAATATCGGGTAATGTAATTTTTTAAATGTTTTAAGTATTTAAGCAATTTAGTAAGGAGGACTAACCACTGGTTTCTGAGCTCAAAATCTCTGTATAAAACATATCCTTGTTAATATCTTTGACAAAACGGAGATAACATTATGTTTTAAAAGGGGATTTTGGTCTCGGAAACCCACTATTAGTTAGTAAAGATAAATGTCTTAGTTGTTAAGGCGGATCTGTATTGCTTTTGCAATTTTTACCCATAATTTTTTTGTGACAGTATTAAGACTAATTATGTGGTTATATCCAATTTCTTTTACTGTACAAATTTTTGTTTTACCCAGTTTATATTGTACAGTTCTTTGTTGGAAGTTATTAGAATTTACTCAAAAACTATTCAATAATTCTGAATCAATTACAAGTCATCATGATTCAATATTGATATCATTTTACAAAATTGATAGTAATTTTATGAAATATTGATTTTCAACACACATATTTCGGATTTTTTATGCTCTTTTTTAACCCGTTGTAACATTATGACCAAAGACTACTTTGGTACGTACTCTCTACTAAGAAAGTAATTATTTTTAAGTTTTTACTCTAAAACAATGTTTTGTGTATAAATGTTTTAACTAATTAAAAGTGATATTTCAGTTTATATATTTTTGCATAGCAACACCGGTTGCCTAGCAACGCAAATAGCAGGTTAAATTAACCTGGTAAATGTTCGCTACATGTAATATGTATATGTATAAATATTAGGTTCTTAATTTTGGTAAAATCACTCATTATTGTACCGGTTACTTTAAACAACATTGAGATAGGAAACTTGTAAAAATACTCCTTCGTACACGATGCTACGTAAATCTTCGATACCTAGCGATTTTAGTGTCTAAGCGACTTAAGCTATACAATGTTCGCAATGTAATAGAAGTTTGTGCTCGGGCACGCGTCGCCGTCATGATTAAGGTCCTCGCTTCAAATTCATAGTCGTGATTTTGAAGATGGCGAAGCAAATTCGTAAATTCATGTCATGTGTCGTCGACTTTAGTATCAGAGATTTGTGTAGCCTCGTAAACGAAGGGCCTTAGTGTTTAATTGAACGTATGTATGTGATCTTAGCATGGATGTTTTATGTTTATACTGTGTAACGTGACAAAATGTAAAATATTGGTAGGATTTAGAAATAACGCATTAAAATACAACTAAAATGTTGATTAATCGCATAAGCCCAGTGTATATTTGTTAGTTATTATTCATGGATTACCTCTTTCTGGGACAATTTCGGTGTTTACAGAACTGTTAGGTTAAGTTAAAATTAAAAAAAACTGCTGCTTTGAAACGAGTTTCAGTTTGCGCACTATACTCTCTGTGATTTATTGTAGGATTTAAATTAAAAAAAATAAACATTTGAGTTTTAAAAATTATTTTTATTTTCATCCTTCAATCATAAGTCTACTTCTAGTCATACTTCCAAATATTAATAACAGGTAAATAATATACAACTAATAATAAATATCATTTTAAATACATGTCTATATATTGTTAATTTAATAAATTAATAATTAGTTTTATATTTCTTTATTTCTACCATTATAACATGGATATTGACCAACTGGGTGCGTGCATTGGGTGTTAATAATTTAACAAATTTATGATAATACTGGACAAAATTTGTAAGAGCCATTTGCAATAAACCAGATCCTGTAACGAGATTTGGAAATGAGACAAGAACTTCTCTGTGAATTTCTTCGAGACTTTGTTTCCAGCCGGCTGTGAATGATGCCACCAAAGACATTGATTTCTTTTCTAAATTCGCTAATTCGTTAGTTTTGCCACTTTCAAGTAATTGTTCACCTTCCTTTACAAATTGCATCAGACCACCGAAATGTGGACTTAATATTTCTTCAACATATTCTGTACTTCTTGCCTGTAATTGTTCTCTAAAGCTTTCCGCCTCTTTTGTGTTGTCTCTGGTCCTTTCCATTAAAATGCTTAGAACCATATCATAATTATTTATTAAAAATATAAGTTGTTGAATCCTTTGTGAAAACTCAGCTGCCATTTTTAATAAGAAACAATGTACTTCGTCTTGTAATAATAATAAGAGATTATTTAATTGTTCAGATGGAAACTGTTCGCTTAAACTTAGCATTGCGGCAGAAAATTCTGCGTATCTCCGAGTAATCTAGAAAGTAAATAAATAAAAACTTAAAAGAAAGTCGCGTTAGTTACACATTTTACAACTCAATAATTATTTGGCTGAAAATTGGTGGTGGAGGTAGCTTGGAGTCAAAAGAGAGGGACACAGAATATTTATTTTATCCAGTTACCGTTTATCCAGTTACATACTAGTATTACGTAATATACAGTTGTACTTACGTAATGGGGACCAAGTTCTTTGTTAGACAACTTAGCAGGATCGCATTCCCTGACACTCTGGATATTTAGTTTTAAAACATATTCTAGTCTGGGATACAAAGCACTTAACAGTGAATCCCAATAACTGAAAGATAAAACAATAAATTAATGAAAACTTTAAAATTGTATATATTTAATAACTCTTTGTATTTACCTGTCTAATGCGGGCACAGCCCTTTTGTGGCACATCCATTTATAACGATTTATTAATTGTATGCATAAAAATAGTGCCAAACAATCGTAACATTCCAGTACATAGTTTTCTACATTTTTCTGAAAATAATAAAGAAAGTTATGATATACTTTCATGGATAAATTTCTCTAATTAAAAAAAAATTATACAGACCACAAGTAATGATAATGTTTTGCCCAAAATTCTATCGAAAAGTTCTTGAGCGTGACTGGCCTTTACGTGAAAAAATTCAGTAGTAAATAAATATTCCCTGCAGCTGTTATCCACCAGAGCATATTGCAAGCTTCGGAACAATGCTTCATAGGAATACTGAAATAATACAAAAAGTTCAATCTTTAAACAATTTTGTAGTTTTTCATAAGAAATATATAATTCATAAGAAATTTCTATGGTCTATATTTATGACACTGAAGTAAAATACAAAAAACACTTTCTTCTTTTTAATTTTGTAAAGTAAAATCTATTTAAAGTACTAAAAAGTGCTCAAAAGTTTAAAGTAGTTTCCTAATAATACCTTTGTCTTCTGCTGAGCATGCGGAACAATGATTGGGGCCTCCAACTGTTGTGCGAGAACATCACCTCGGTTGCCAATTGTAAAGATGGTACTTTTATTTTTCAGATTAGTTTTTTGGAAAAATCCTCCTTTAGAACCATCTTCGATTCCCATTAGATCATCTTTTGTTGGAACTTCTTCATATTTAAGTTTATCTAACCTTGATGCATATGATTTGAAATAAGAATAATAAACTTTGCTTAAAGTGTCAATATATTCATTACATATTTCCTGAGCAACATTTCGTTCATTTGTTAAAACAAATTCAAAGAAAAATTTGTATTTTAGCATTGCATTTTGAGGTATTTGATAATTAGCCATTGGTTTACGGAATTTATATATTTGTTCCAAGATATATGTTCTTATTTTTGCAACAGCTTTTATTTTGAGCTTTTCTAATACATCTTTAACATCATGGCATGCTTTAGTTTCTTTGAAATCTTGTTCTTTAACAAAGTTTATCTTTTGATTCAATATGGCCAATTGGACCATAAATTCTTTGTCAATTACAGGAACATTATTAATTCCACTGAAAAATAATAAAAAGATAACAGTGTATGTTGACTACTTGCAAAAAAGTGCGCTTAGTTAGAAATTACAGATTAAAGAATAATAAGATCTTACAATATAAGTGTTTCTGATACAGCCATGTCTTCTATAAATGAGGACAGTGGTCCTTTGAGTGCTTGTCTGTTTGAAAGTTGAACTGACATGTTCACAGATCGCTTTTGTAAACTGATGATCTCATTGCTTATACTTCCTAAATCATTCTGAAAATGAAAAAACACACAATAAACAGGTAAGTATTTACAGAATACATTGAAAATTTGCGATGATTAGATAGAAAAAATTATCATGTAATTAAAGTTGAAAAAGAAGAAATTCCATTTTAAAATTGATGCAGAATTGTGAAGTGCAGAGATTATCTAAGTGTCAGTATGTAATTTAAAGCTAATATTTTTAGCGATTTTTGTGTGAAAATGGAAGCAGGCTTTTCCATTGAATCTTTATGTAGTATTAATGTTAATTTTTATAAAGAACTTTGTGAATACATACTTGGAACACTAATAGCATACTTTCCATGCGAGCTAATATACCGTCGCACTCCTCGATCTGGCCATGCAGAGAAGCGATGTTATCGCTCTCCCTCAAATAATCCGCAACTGAATTTTTTTCAGCTTCTTTGATTCCCTTATCAATTTGTAATGCGTATTCTCGTAAGTCTGTGCCATTCTTTAAAACTTCCTGTATTTCCAAGTCTTCGAGATTCTTGTCAAAAGTGTCTTTCGTAATTATTGATTCAGTCATTCTTATAGTAATCACGGAGTATCTTATAAGTGTTTGTACGGAACAATTATAACCGATGTGTTGGGATAATAACAAGGATGATAATTAAAAACAGACATGAGATATCGCAACACGAAAGAGCGTGTAAACAGTCAAGGAAAATTATGGATATAGAAACATCATCAATATTTAAGCTTAGCTGTCACTGTCAAAAGCCAAACAACAAGTCAGCTGCTGACAGATGTCAATTTTCTTTCAGAGTTAAGTAATTTTTATTTTTATTTTAAGACCTGGTAACATAGACCTTTAGGTTATATCTTATTTGTTAAGTCAAAGTCAATAAAAAACAAAGATTAAATAATAATAGAGGGGCCAAACACAACGTTAATTTTTTTTATATCATCAATAAACTTTTAATGTCTTTAAAAATCAAGCAAACGGCTGGCAGCCAATATTGGCCACGTTGAATGCACAGGGGCGGGCGCGTCCACGTTAAACGTGAACAAGCACGCAAGCAAGTCTAAAAGTAATTGGACATCACGCAAAGTATACGAAAATACTGCTATCAATTTTTTTAGCCATGTTTTTTTTGGGGACGCTAATGAACTATGTACTTTGCAGCTTGATCGGTCAAAGTACATCAGGCGCACAAGGCACAATGCTTAACTTGGCCCAAATGGTTGGTTGGCCACCCACGTAGTGTGCACGTCATCGTTTTTCATTCGAATTTCAATGATAACAACTCTGATACTTACTGCATTTGTTTTTCTTTAGTTAATATATTCGGTAAAGGGCACTAATGAAATATAAATAAAAGAAAAAAAATATTTCAATTGACGCATGTGCGTCAGTATTATTGGGGTGAAATATTTACAAAGAAAAAAAATGTATAACATGTAACAAAAGCACATCAAACAGTTGTTGATATAAAAGAAATGCAGTAATAGTCCTAAAATGTATGAAACTTAAAGATTAGGATAAGTTTCTAAAAGATCTACGTTGAATCTTTTATGATATAGATTGTTCTCTTCTACTCAGCGCAATCTACATTTTAAGGGTGAAGTGGGAAGGACGCGAGTATTAAATATTGTATTAATCATGTACAGTTTTTTGCAATAATATAAAGATGGAATGTTTTGACAGATATCAAGGGAGAGACGAATAAGTTTAACAAATAGGTAGCACTTGCATTATCTGCCTATAAGTTACAGTATTTGTGATAACATTTGTAACATTGGACAATTTGTTTAAGCACAACAGAGCGTGTCATATACGGTATATTAACAATAAAATATTACAGACAAAAACTATCTATTTTAAGGGTAAGCAAAATACTAAATGAGATTTGGACTAAAAGATAATGCTTTGTGCTTTTTACACCTATACATATCACTTACGCTGCTGTGTATAACAGAACAATAAAAATAATAGTATTTACGTAAAGAAGAATAAGGAAATAATTTGTTAATTACAATTAAAATTACTTTAGATTAACTAATACATTTAAAGGAGATTGGGCGTTGAGTAAAAAGTTCAGCACAGTTAAATATGTATCAAAATAGATATAAATTTCGTAAAAAAATTATCACATATAATTTCTATACAATAACAATTTTTACAATCTAGGATATAATTTTAAACAGTTACCTTATATTTTTAATAAAGGTAACAAATATGCATTTTTTTATGCATTGCGATGTAACATCATAAAAATACGTAAGCAATTTATTTACATTTAGCATTTGTACTGAGTGCACCGATCATAGGTACCTATACTAGAAGTTTATAGCTCCAATAATCTGAATATTATGGTTATTTGATATAAAACCATATGATTTTTTGGTCCATGACACTATTGAAAAAAGTCGTAATTTATTTTTCAACTAAATAATTTGTTAATCCCATTTTTTTTGGACCTATTGGGGCATTATATTTTGTCAC